TCGGCCCCTTCTCGTCGCAGGGGTGGGAGGGGATGTCTGGCATCGCCCCGTCATCCCACAGCAGCACCAGGTAGGTGTATGGCATCGCCCAGTTGATCATCCCCAAGTACTTGTTGTAGGGGCTCAGCAGCAGCGAGACCATGGCCAGGGTGGCGATGCCAATGCTGACAGCAATCACAGGCTCCTTCGCCCAATATATACACATATATATGTAAAGGCACAGGGCAGCAGAGATTCATGGCCCATGTTTCCTCTCAGCAGTACAACAAGCACCTGAAATTAAAATCACAGTGGCAGCACCACTGTCAAGAGACATGATTTTTGTGACACTTCTGTATGAGCCAAGACCCTAGTATGAGTAGAGTTTGTATCAACAAAGAAAACATTTTTGCTAGAAAGGCTCTTAGGTACTACTAGCAAAAGTTTCTTTTTGTTTTCATGCTTCAAGCTGTGTCTGTACTTAGAGAGGCAGCTTGTAGAATTACTGCCTTTTACTTCTAGAGAATAGGACTTTGCACAGTAAATAGTGTGGGTAAATATTCAAGTATGTTCTGGATGAGCCCAGCTACATTGTAGTTCAGATTACAGGGGACACCTATGGCATCTCACTTCCCACAGATGGGGTCCCAGTGCAGGTGGGAGTCAAAGCTATAGTACCCCCTTGCAAAGAGCCTGGGACCTCAACAATGGTACACCGATAGAGACATGGCAGCCCTGTGGTCCTCCTCTTCTGGGGGACTCTGTTAATCTGTGAGATTCACTTGTAACTTCTTGCGTAACTTCTCTTGCAGCAGGATCTGGGCTTGTGCTCACAGAGATGCTCTGCAAACTGGTATTAATGGGAGGGGGATGGCTGCAGAATCAGTAAGAGCAGTTCTCAGTTCCTTGGGAACATGCAGGAAGACCGAAGCCAACAGAAAGGCTCATGGCTGCTTTTCTCTGGGTGTTTTTTTTCTTGCAGGCTACAAGTATCTGATCTGTGATCACATGAGGGCAGTACATCTCTATGTCAGCGCCTTGAAACATTCCTGTCCAATTGTGGCGTTCCCTTGTGCAAGTCATCTAGATTTTTTAAATGGACGTTGCCTGGACTGTGTTGACCCGTTCCTGTTCTCCTGTCCCAGAATAGGTACAGTACCAGCATGAGATCTTCCTGGAGTAGATGATAAATGCATTCCTGTTGGGTGTCAGTGCAGAGCACAGTACGCAGTTCAGATTTCTCTGAGCAGGATTTCCTTTAGATCTCTGGGAATAGTGAGAAGCTGTTTCTTTTTCAGACTTCTATACAGACACCCTAAAAGCTCATATAATTCCCAAGGTAGAACACCAAAGTCTTGAATATTTATGATCTTTAAAGGTTTCACAGGGCTCACAAGTAAGTTGAAACACAGCCTCCAGAATCGCCTACCTAATAAGTGAGCAATTAGCTCAAAAACTGTCTTGTTTAGAGAAGCAGCTGGAAATTTTAGCCCAAGCCTGAAGCCCCGTTCTTCTACAAACCCCTCACTGTTGCTGTGTCATCTCCTTCTCACAAATTCAGCCATCCCAGAGATCAGCTCCCTGGACTGGGAGAAGGTAATAGCTGCCTCTTTTAGGCTTCTGCAACTGGGCTGTGGCACAAGGACAAGAAGTCCTATTTGCACCTCTGGTATCAGAGGAATATAAGGTGAGGCCTCTTGGCATAGGTGCTCTCAGATCAGCCAGCCCTTCCTCATGTCACCAAGCCACACTGTCAGCCAGTCAGTGGTGCAGGCCTCAAGTTATGGTGCTCTTCTCACTTGATGCAGAAATCTAGTTCCCCAGTACCTTGTGTTTGCACTTCCATTTCCATCTTCACTAGGTTTCCTGACTTGGTAGTCTTTAGTCCTGCTCATTTTGCTCAGGTGCAACAAAGCCACAGAGAAGTACTCTGATGATGGTTATCTGGGGTAGCCAGAATAGGTTTTCTGAGGGGATGTTAACCGGTCAAACAGTCACCACAAACCTGTGCTTGCTCTCATTTGCACTGGTATAAAGAAAGACTCTGTCCTCTGAGACTGCAGAGTTGGGCAGGGTGAGTGTATTGGGTCATTCATGGTTTTCCCTGCGCTGGCTGTATTTCCTCCTGCAGGCCTGCTGGAGCAGGCAGGTGTCAACATGAGCAAGCTGGCCAAGGAAGTGAAAGTTTATTTAATGACCAGTCCCTCAGCTCCATTCTGTGGTAAGTAGCATGAGAAAGAAATGACTCACAAGGGTGTTGACCAAATGAGGCAGATCCTCTGGGAAGGCTGGGTAGTTAAATCCCACCATCCCCATCAGAATCAGCTGCTGTGGCCCGGGGGGGTCTGAGGGACACAGCTGAAGAGCAATAACCGTGCACAGCTCCCCCATAAAGCCCTTTCCAATGGGTTTATTAGTGTGGGCACAGCCCGGGATCAAGATAGCCACATGTCTTCAGTACTGAAGTAAAGGGTGGTGAAAATGCTTGTCTGTTTACACTGGACTACTGCCTCCTGCCCATACCCCAGAGAGCAGCTTCTTTCTTATGTCTCTTTAAACTTCTTTCTGCTTCTGGGGACAGGGAATGAGTGCTAGAGGCCTTCTTTTGGCAGATGTAGGTTCAACCAGTAGTACCTGAGCTCACTCCTGCATACTTTGCCTCTTGCTCAGTCCATCACAGCCTGGTTGAGTTCCACTTGCAGAAGAAAAGAAACACAGCCACCAGCATTGAGATCACTTTCTTCAGCAACAGCAGCAAGGACACCACAAAGATCACCATGTGAGTGACAGTGCCTGCTTCTGGCCTGTTTTTTTCCCAGCTCCATGTGTAAGGATGTTTGTAACAGTACAGGAAAGCCACAACAATAGCATGTCTCACTGAGTGCAGTCACTGTGTGGTGAAACACAACCTTTCCTCCTGAATACCTCCACATTTACCTCAAGTGCTCTAAAGAATCAGGCATGTGCTGCCATTACTCTGTAACCCTGGCTAGCTCCACATCTTCCCTGAGTGCACAAAGCAGCAGGTATACTCCGGGATCCTCAAATTTGCATATTTCTGTGTTGCTATGTTTGTTCCTTTTCTACACCATACCCTTGCCGGGTGCCACTTCAAACTGCAATCAGTGTCAGAGAGTTATTAGCTCTTACTCTGCCAGACAGAGATGGCTACAGCAAGACCCCGTCCACCAGAGGTTCCAGACTGATGGGACTTTGTGGCTTAGACATTTCCTTTGATGCCCAGTAAGACAGCAGGTGCAAAGAGGAGACAAGTGCGTCTCTGCACAGTCAAAAATATGTTCAGTAGCTTGTTGCCTCTGCGGTAATGCAGCAAAGCACCCAGGCTCCCAAAAGTTCAGGGGGCAGGAGACCAAGAACACAGGTGGAGACAGACAGACCTCTCTTGAAAGCACCGCCCATCTCCAAACCGTATCTGAATTAAAGAACCAGACTCAGACAAGGGTGTGACAGCCCTTACCACAGGGGAAACTCCCCACCTCAGAGAAGTTCCCCAGAAGTCTTCCTCTCTTCTTTCTACACCTTCCTGCCCACTGCTGTGGGCTGGGAACCACAATGTAGACATGCAGCTAGCACATGCTGCTGGCTGCCTCAAGAAGCAGGAAAATAGTCTGCTAAAGAGCCCCTGCCAGCTCTCCTACGATCAGAGGAGTTCCAGTGCTGACTCCCACATAGTCCTTACAGCTAAGCCAAAATGCTGAAGCTGCTTTGGTCCTGGACACCAGGAGGTAGGGGTGAAAACTGGGGAAGGGGAAGCCACGCTCAAGGGTGCTCTCCAGCATAATATAGCTGCTTGGTCAGAGATTTCCAGCCAGGCACTGCAATTTGGAATTTATACTCCAGCCTGGTGGAGCTCAGTCTGTTCAACCCCTCCCCAGCTTGGAAGCCAATTCTGCCTTTTACAAAGATGCAGGAGGGAGGGAATAGTAACACCTAGGTTGAGTCAGGACTCAGGAAGATGTGCAGCACCTACTTTTGCAGTTGTCGGACACAGGGTTTGATAGGTGTCCAGCAGGAGGCATGTGAGCACTGGAGAGAAAGGCTGCCTGGGGAAGAGAGACAGGCAGGCAATCCCGAGGCTTTACTGTACCCTTAGGTTTTAATGAGACAGTAATGGAGCTGACAGAGCAAGGAGCTTGTTACGCAGCACAGTTCCCATCTGCACTGCCATTGCTTACACATCACATGACATCATCCCCCATACCCAAGAAAACATAGTTCTGAAGCCAGACAAGAGTCCTACATCCATCCAAAAGGTTGTGTAGGGTTGGACCAAATGTCAGTCTCTGGAGTGACTTTCTTCAACCTGCTTACCCTTACTTTGTTCTTCTGTCCTAGGACAGGGCTGGATCCTGCCCACAGACAATACGCAATAGATAGATGGCCTCCCTTCTGTTTGTTTTCCATTTGCTATCTATTCTTCATCTTTATAACCACAATTTCACGGTGCTTCCTGGTTTTCGCATCTTCAAGCCAGACACAGTCAGATGCACAAAACCTCCAGCATCTACCACTGCAGTCTAAGGGAGGGACTGGATGTACTGGTTTGGGTTGGCCACTTTAGCCTAGGGCGATGCTGAGTGCAGCTGTCAGCCCACTCCTGGGAACAACTTTGGTTAGCAGAATTGTAGGTTCTTCCTGATCCTTTTGTCACCTTTCCTCTTTCACTACCATCACATTTCTAATCAGGCAGTTGCCCAGGTGCTTCTGGCATTGCGCTGAATCAGCTACACACATATTCTTCACAAGCACAAGGAAATCGATGATCTCCAAGCTCCTAGAGGTGCCAAGTAGATCAGGCAGAAGAAGGCCCATTGGATGGGCTCCACAGAAGGGAGGTAGCCTACTTATATCAAATGGCCACTTTCTAGCCATTGGCTACATTATCATTGTCTGTATACCCGACCTCTGGCATTTCTCAGTTCTTGTTACCTGGTTAAGAGCATAGGGACAGCAAAAAGTCCCTCTATCCAAACATCCCACCTTCAACACTGTCAAAAGCAAATATCTAGAGAAAAGTACAAAAGAAAAGCAGTGTAAGCATGTAGCAACACTTCCTCCAAATAGTATCCCAACACCTAACTAATTACCTCTCAGGGGCTTTCAGAGACAAAGGTGAGATCTTTGTCCATATTAGCTCCCAGTGCTTTTGTCTTCCACAAACTTGTCCATCCCCTCTCCCATGACTTGTAAAGTCACGTAGACTTT